TTCCTTCCTCCAGGCGTAAACCTTAACGCCAAGGTCATGGCCCGGTCAGCCCCAGCTCTCCAGCGCAGCCCACGGCACAGGCAGGGCTCACACCCAGCGCACTCAGCCGGCTCCTGTGGAAGGTGAGGAAGCACCCACTGTCCTCTCCCCGGGGCCCTGGGCTCACCGTTACTGAGCGGGGAGTGGTATTGGGGAGGGGGACAGGGCCTGCCCCTCCCTCCCCCCCGGCTACAAGAGCAAGCTTCCACGGCCCCAGACTCGTCCACACCTCGACCCCACCTGCCAGTCCTCTTATTTGCCCTCAGCCACTGTCACGTGGGGCCTGGAGAGGGAGAGTGACTCAGCCGATTCATCAGCCCGATGGAAAAACCCAGTCACCTGCCCTCCCAGCGCCAGGACCTGAGCCCTCTGCATCTGGAAGGGCAGCCTGCCACGCTGCTCTCAAGGTCCTGCTGTCTTTCACCTGCTGGAAAAACACACACAGAGAGAGAATGAAGTATGAGGCGGCATGGCCGGCTGACGCTGGATTGGTGGTGGGGCGTGAACCTTAGCGGCTACCAGTGATCAGTGTTCCCTCCGCGCCAGGCCCCGAGGTGAGTGCCCGTGTGTGGAATCTCATAGAAATTTCCCAAGCCCATGGCTTTCTGAGGGGGGTGCTTGTCACTCTCTTGGCCACCAGCATCTGATAGGCCCTTCCTGGGCCAGAGCCCACCTCCCACGAGGAGCGGAGAACACCTTTGCCCAGCCTCCCTTGCAGCTAGCTTTGGCCGAGTGCCTGATCTCGGTGTCTCCAATCAGACACACCCATTCTTCGTATTTTTATTATTAAATTGATTGGTGTAACATTGGCTAATAACATCAATGTCAGGCGTACGGCTTTCCAAGACAACATCTGTTACTCAGCTGGGTGCTCCCGGCCCCGAAGCCTAGCCTCCTTCTGTCACCCTATACGTAACTCCCTTTTACCTTCCCTTCCTCCCTCCCCCACACCTCCCTCCCCTCCGGTACCCTCCAGGCTGTTGTGTGTATCTGTGAGTTTGCTTATTGTTTGTTCATGTGTTGTTTTTGTGTTCTTGCCCACACGGGGGTGAAATCATAGGGTTCTCACCCTTTCCCGCCTGGTTAAGTTCACTTAGCACCGGGGTTGGCAAACCGCGGCTCGCGAGCCAAATGCGGCTCTTTGGCCTCTTGAATGTGGCTCTTCCACAAAATACCACAGCCTGGGCGAGTCTATGTTGAAGAAGTGGTGTTAGAAGAAGTTTAAATTTTAAAAATTTGGCTCTCACCCGAAACCGGTTTGGCTCAGTGGATAAAGCGTCGGCCTGTGGACTAAAAGGTCCCAGGTTCGATTCCGGCCAAGGGCATGTATCTTGGTTGCAGGCACATCCCCAGCGGAGGGGGGGTGCAGGAGGCAGCTGGTCGATGTTTCTTTCTCATTGATGTTTCTAACTCTCTATCCTTCTCCCTTCCTCTCTAAAAAAATCAATAAAATACATTTAAAAAAATTGGCTCTCAAAAGAAATGTCAGTCGTTGTACTGTTGACATTTGGCTCTGTGGACTAATGAGTTTGCAGACCACTGACTTAGCATAATGCTCTCACAATCCATCCAGGCGGTCTCAGAGGCAGACACGCCCATTTCTGATGGTGAATTGGAAACCGGTGAACACTAGGCCACGCAGAGTCCATGGTGGCGAGGTGGCAGTGGTGGCAGCCACACCCCCTCCGGCTCCAGAGGCCACTGTGACCCTTGATGGCGGTGCCCTGTGTCCTGGCCCAGGGGTGGCAGCGGCTGCAATGTCTGTGCCCAGGCGTGGTAGTGGTTCTGACACCAGACCAACACCATGGCGTTGGGGGTGACTCCTGAGGTCCCCAGAGCTGCAGCCTCTTTTTACAAAGCCCTTTTCTGCTCAAACTAGCCAGCGTGGGCCCCTCGTTTCTTGCAATTCTCCGGACCGGTGGTAAATGAACTGGGGTTCCCCCATCAGGAAGTGAAGGTACCGAGAGATCTTCACAAAGGCAGTCTCCCCTCCAGCTGCCATGCAGGCCAATCTGCCCATTTCCCAGATGGGACAAGGCAAGGACAGAGGAGACAGTGACCTAAGCAACATCTTTCTTTTTTTTTAACATTTTTTAAAATTGATTTCAGAGAGGAAAGGAGAGGGAGAGAGAGAAACGTCAATGATGAGAGAGAATCAGTGATCGGCTGCCTCCTGCACACCCCCCACTGGGGATCGAGCCCGCAACCCAGGCACGTGCCCTTGGCCAGAATTGAACCTGGGACCCTTCGGTCCGCAGGCTGACGCTCTATCCACTGAGCCACACTGGTCAGGGGTAGGCAGCATCTTTCAGGTCGTTAGGAGCGATGCTGGAGGGCATGCCTGAGTGGCCCCCAACCCCAGCCACAGCCTGACCCTGGATCACGCTCTGCTTCCCTCTAACAGCCCTGCCTTCCAGCCTGTCCCCAAACACCACGCCCCCCTCGAAGGGGTGAGGCGCCCACAGTGGGAGGGGCTGAGAGCTTGCCCTCCCATCATTCCTAGGGGGCCCCTCATTGCCAGGCATGACGGGTCCTTCCCAAGGGGCCAGCCCCCAACCCCCGCCCCACCCCTGAGCACCTTTCTTTGCAGCAGGAGCCCCCTGAAGTGGGGTGTCTTTACAACCCCACTTCTCCATCACCTATTGCCTCCATGTTGAGGGTGCAAATCTGCAGCCTAACCCGCCTGAACGCTGTCTTGAACTCGGGTTCTCTGAGCCAAGCAGACTGTCTACGCCAGTTCAAGGTCATGGCGGGCGCCATCCCACCCGTGGGCCGATGAGTCAGGGTTTCAAAGCTCTCGTTGGGGCAGCTTCATACCCCCTCCTGGGGCCCCGATTCCTCTGCGGAGTTCAGAACTGATGGCCCTCGTGGATTATGTCACTAGAACATCGATCACTTGCTTTTTTCAGGGACCAGGTCTGAAGTTATTGACAAGGGTAGAACTGAGGAAAGCCTAGTGCAATATAATAACAGCTTCACGTTCAATAATAAAGGCAGCCCTAACTAGTTTGGCTCAGTGGATAGAGCGTCAGCCTGCAGACTCCGGGGTCCCAGGTTCGATTCCGGTCAAGAACATGTGCCTTGGTTGCGGGCACATCCCTGGTGAGGGGTGTGCAGGAGGCAGCTGATCAGTGTTTCTCATAGATGTTTCTAACTCTCTATCCTTCTCCCTTCCTCTCTGTAAAAAGTCAATAAAATATATATTTAAAATAATAATAATAATAAAGGCAATCCCACTACACCAAGATCACAGGTTCCGCCTCCCGGTAGGGCAACCAATGAATGCATACATAAGCGACAACAACTCTCTCAAGTCAATCAATAAACATATTTTTAAAAATAATAAAGATGACTGTTTGCTGAACATTGCAACCTTGTGCCTGGCACTGGGACTAAGCATTTTATGTGCCATCATCTCATCCTCAGAGGAGCCCTCTGAGGTCAGCATCATCCTAGTCTCACCCAGTGTGCCATGGAGGCTCAGAGAGGCCAAGTCACTTCCCGGCCATCACACAGCCAGGAGGCTGAAGAGCCAGCCTGTGTTCTCAAGGGCTGGCTGGCTCCAGACTTGTGTGTATACATACGCACACAGTCTCCTGTTTTGGACATTGGAGTTCACTCTGTCCCCACTGATGCCCTCACGCTCCCTTTTACAAAAGAGGAAATGGAGAGCAAGGCCCTCCCCAAGGTGAGCCTCCAGGGCTGTAAGGAGCGCTCCAGCGAGCTGCTTCCTATTGCTTATGAATGTGCACCCCATCTGAGGCCACCACACTGAGCACCTTCCTCACTCAGCATCTGCGATTCCCATCACTCAGAGCAGCCTCAGTGGCTTCACCCCAGGCAGAGGGGGTCAGGGGAGGCACTGCAGAATTCTCTGGAGCTCCCACCCCACTGCTATCAGGGAACACACACCCCCACCCCCCGCCCCCAGATGACCTGGTCTAATACATTCAATCTACACCAAAAGGCTGGAATCTGGGGGGGGGGGGGGGGGGAAGGGGCCAAGGTCATTGTCAGGGCCTGAACAGAACCGGCCTGGGAACCCTCCTGGGGAGTTGTCTGGCCCCAGGAGACGTGTTCGGGTCCTGATTGCCGTTCTGCCCACAGCAGGCTCTACCCAGGGACGTGGGCGCTTCCCCCTCCGGGGTGACAGGTGGGAAAAGGCCCTGGGCCAGACCAGAGTGAGCCAGAGGGAGATAGGGGTCTCTGAGGGGAGCAATGACCTTGTCACACGGGAGGGTGGGGGGGAGGCTGAGAGCCCGGACACCTCTGTCTGCAGGTTCCCCAGGGAACCTCAGCTCTGAAGAGATCACCGGTTCTTCCTGACCCCCCCCCCCCCCCCCGTCCTTTCCCAGCCCCGGCAGCAGAATGGGTGGGGAGGGTGGGAAGGGGTGCTGCCTCCTCCGGGCTGGGGCTCCCCCTGGTCATCTCAACAAAGGCTGAGGCCGAGGTCGCCCCCTACCCCGGGACCCCGCACCGCGCGGCCGCGGGAAGATCCGGGGGGCGGGCGGGCGGGGCCTCCCTGCGCTCCCGGCGGAGTCCAGAGGCCGGGACCCTCCTCCCGGCGCCTGCGGGGGCGAGGGGCGGGAGGGGAGGGCGGGCACCCACCACCCACCCAGGGCTCCGCTAAGGTTGCAGCCCATCCTCCCGGGGACACGCCTGCCGCCCGGACCGCCTCCCGGGACCAGCCCCGCCCCGGGCGGAGCGCCCACGCCCGCCACACCGGCCTCCGCCCCCCGCACCGGCCCCCTCCGGCCTCTGCCCCCCCCCCCCGGCCTCCGCCCCCCCGGCCTCCGCCCCGGCCGGCCTCCGCCCCCCTCGGCCCCGCCCCCTCCGGCCTCCGCCCCCCTCGGCCTCGGCCCCCTCCGGCCTCCGCCCCCCCCCGGCCTCCGCCCCCCCGGCCTCCGCCCCCGCGGCCCCCGCCCCCTCCGGCCTCCGCCCCCTCCGGCCTCCGCCCCCTCCGGCCTCCGCCCCCGGCTGCGGAGGGACCCGGGCGCGGACACCTGCACCCGCGGCGGCGGCGCGGTCCTGACCCACCGGGCGTCCCTGTCGCTGGCATCGCCCTCGGTGAGTGGGCGCCGCCCTCGCCCTTTCCGCATCCCCTGGCCGCGCGCGCACCCATCCACGGGAGCCGGACGCCGGGTCCCCATCCACCGGGAGGGCCGCACCCCCTCCTCCGCCCCGGGCTCCCCTCTTCTCCTCCCGGCCAGACCCGGCGGCCCCGGGGCCGCGATCCGGCCGCCGCCCGCGCCTCCCCCCCACCCCCCGGGCGGCGGCGCGGGCGGCGGGGCCGCTTTGTCCCTGTCGCCGCCCGAGCGCCGGAGCCCCCACCCCCTGCGCGCTCCCCCCGCCGCCCGGGTCCCCCGCGCCGCCCGCATCCCCCGCGCCGCCCGGGTCCCCCCGCCCGCATCCCCCGCGCCGCCCGGGTCCCCCCGGCCAGGGACGGCGGCGCTGGGAGGCGGCCCATGGGCGGATTCTAACGCGTGTGGACGGGGGCGCGGCGCGGGGGGCGGAGAGGCGCTCCCGGCTCGGCGGCTGCTCCGCGGCTCGCGCCCTCCGGCTCCTCGGCTCCGCGATCCTCTCCTCGGCCGCCCGCCGTCCCCTCCCCGGACCGTCCGCCGTCCCCTTCCCGGGCCGCCCGCCGTCCCCTCCCCGGCCGCCCGCCGTCCCCTCCCCGGGCCGCCCGCCGTCCCCTCCCGGGCCGCCCGCCGCCCTCCGTCCTCTCCCCGGGCCGCCCGCCGCCCTCCGTCCTCTCCTCGGCCGCCCGCCGTCCCCTCCCCGGGCCGCCCGCCGTCCCCTCCCCGGGCCGCCGCCGTCCCCTCCCCGGGCCGCCCTCCGTCCCCTCCCCGGGCCGCCCGCCGCCCTCCGTCCCCTCCCCGGCCGCCCTCCATCCTCTCCCCGGCCAGCCGCGCCGGGCGCCGCGATGAAGCTGCTGGGACACCGGATCGAGCTGCTGACAGGTACCGGCCCCGCCGCCCGCCGGCCGGGGAGGGCGCGGCGCCGGGCTGGGCGGCTCTGGCTGGAGCCGGAGCCGGAGCCGGAGGCGGGGAGCGGGGCCGGCCGGGTCCCAGCGCGCGCTGCCCCGCCGGGCTCTGCGCTCGGTCCCGGCGTCCGGAGCGCGGATCGGGGCGCCTCCCGGAGTCCCCCTCCGAGCGGCGGAGCTGGAGCCGGGTCCCCAGGGGACGGGGCTCAGTCCCTGCCCTCCGCCCGGAGCTTTCCGCCTGGAGGAGAGCCAGCGCCTGGGGAGGGGGGAGCCGGGCGGACCCGGGGCAGGGGGCCCTCCGCCGGGAGCCCCTCCGGAGCCGGAGCCGCGTGCAGGGCGCTGTGGCCGGGGGTCCCGGGGGGACCCGGGTGTGCCCGTGGGGGGGGACGAGGCTCAGAGGCCGGGGGGTAGGGGGGCAGGCTCCCTCTCCTCCTCCTCCCCCTCCCCCTGCCCCGTCTCTCCTGCCTCCCTCTCTCCGGGCACCGGCGGCTTCTGGGGCTGCGGAGGGACGGGCAGGGGAGGGGGAGGGAGGAGGAGGAAAGGGAGCAGGTGCGGACCCCACCGGCCTGGCCCTGGCGGCCTCCATCACCGCCTCCGGACCGACCGAGGTTCCAGGCGATTCCTCTGCCCCCCCCTCGCCCCCCGGGAGGTCCGGCCGCGTCGCGTCCTCGCCGGCTTCGGGGAGGGAGCGCAGGGCCCTGTGGGGGGAGAAGGGGCCGCGGCCCGAGCCCGCGTGGGGGCGGGAGGAGCGGGGAGATCGGAGCTCGTGGCAGGGTTTGAACTGGACCCTAAAGGACAGGCTTTCTGACCCCGGAGAGGGGAGAGGGGGTGGCGGTGCAGGCTGAGGGGTGGGGGGAGCCGGGGATGCGGAGGCCCGGGGGGTGCGAGAGGCCTGGCCTGGGGGATGGGGATGGGGATGGGGAGTGAAGTGAAGTGGGGGCTGGAGGGCCAGGGGAGCGAGGTTGGGGGAGGTGGGGGGAGGTTTCAGGCGGTGATGCTGCCCTGTCCGGGTTTGCTCAGTGGTTAGAGCTCCGGCCCCGGGGACTGGATGGGGCCGCGAATGCCCGTGAAGCAGCAGTGACGGTGCTCCTGTCCGCCGCAGGCTCACAGTCAGGGGGCGGGGGTGGAGGGTGGGGGGCTGTTGGGAACACTCTGGCCAGGTCCTCAAAGGAGCCAGTCCCATCTGAGCCCAGTTAGCCAGGGGGTGGGCACTCCATCCAATCAATCCCTCGCCAACTTTTCCCTGTAGAGCTCCCCCGAGGCAGGCCTGCCACCTGACTTCAAAGGGGGCAACCTGCTCGGCCAGCATGGCTCAGTGGTTGAGCATCCACCTATGGAGCAGGAGGTCTCTGTTAGATCCCCAGGGGGGGCGTGCAGGAGGCAATCCACCAATGGTTCTCTGTCATCATGGATGTTTCTCTCTCCCTCGTCCTCTCCCTTCCTCTCTGAAATCAGTAAAAATATCTTTTAAAAGCAGGGGGTGGAGTAGGGAGGGGGTGCGGCCCTGGCTGCTGACCTTGCTAATCCCCAAAGGGAAGTGTTGCCCACCGCATGGGTTTGGGGGAGCCGGGCATGCAGGGCTGAACTCCTGCTCTGGCAGCTGCTGGGGCAGGAATGCTGTCGGGAGGCTGTGCAGGACTTTGGGGTCCCCCTTCAGTGTGGGGACCCTCATCTTCTGGGTCCAGGGCTCAGGGCCCTTCCTCCCTCATCAGACAGGTCCTAGCAGACTGTCTACGCCCTCCTAACAAGGTCAAATAAATGTATACACACACTTTGAGTAATTATACAATTATACAAAGGCATAATTGTGTTTATGAAAATACATTTCATTTTCAAAATGGAGCTAGCAGCTGTTCAGTGTGTATACGTTTTTGGGGGGACACCCGGTAGGTTCCAGTGCATTCACATCAGGGAACCCCGGGCAGCTGCGAATTTTGCTGCCAAAGTTATTTATTCACCTGAACAGATGTCCCCTTACGTAATTATAATGTTATAATAACAGCGATGACAGCTCACGCTGACATGGCATTTGCCATGGGCCAGGCACGGTCCCGAGTGCCTTCTGTATATTCATCACCCTCATAACAGCCTGTGAGGTGTGTGCTGTTAGTTCCTCCTTTTTACAGATGAGGACGGTGAGGCACAGGAGGTTAGGAAACTGACTAAACGTGACACGGATGGTAAGCAGCTGGCTGGGATTTGAACCAGGGTCTAAAAGATGTTTCGAAACAGCGTTTTGTTGCCCTAACCAGTTTGGCTCAGTGGATAGAGTGTCAGCCCCCAAGCTGAAGGGTCCCGAGTTCGATTCCTGTCAAGGGCATGCGCCTTGGTTGCAGGCTTGATTCCCAGTGGGAGGGGGGGGGGGAGTGCAGAAGGCAGCTGATCGGTGTTTCTAACTCTCTATCCCTCTCCCTTCCTTTCTGTAAAAAAATCAAATAAAATATATTTTAAAAATAACAAAAAACTGTTTTTCATCTTTTTTTGTTGTTTTTGTTTATTTTTCATCTTTTTTCAGTGTCTAAATTAGCACTGGAAAAGGAGTCAAAGGAGATGATAAAAAAATGTTAACGGTGGTTTTCTCTGGTTCATAGGATTCTATGTGCTTTCCACATCTTTTTGCTCTTCTGTTTTTCTGACTTTTTCCAGTGAGCATGTATTACATGAAATTCAAGTTTTATTTTTTTATATATATATTTTATTGATTTTTAAAATTTTATTTTACAGAAAGGAAGGGAGAGGGATAGAGAGTTAGAGACACTGAATGAGAGAGAAACATCAATCAGCTGCCTCCTGCACATCCCCTACTAGGAATGTGCCCGCAACCAAGGTACATGCCCTCGACTGTACTCAAACCTGGGACCCTTCAGTTCGCAGGCCGACGCTCTATCCACTGAGCCGTACCGTGAGGGCCAAGTTTTATTTTTTAAAACGGAAAAGTAACGGATGGGTTGGGGACGTGGTCCGGGCTGGGGCCACTCCGTGGGAGCTCTGCGGAAGAACAAACTCCCGGGAAAACTTCACAGCCAAAGGTCTTGGTGTCAGAGGAGCCGGGATTGCCACTGTGTGGAAAACACAGGCAGCTGCGACCTCCAGACACCGGAATTCAGAACGTGCCCCTCCATCCCCCCGCTGTGTGAGGAGACTTTCCTTTACCTTAAACAACATACTATTTTCCTATTTTTTAAATATATTTTATTGATTTTTTTACAGAGAGGAAGGGAGAGGGATGGATAGTTAGAAACACCGAATGAGAGAGAAACATCGATCAGCTGCCTCCTGTACACCCCCCACTGGAGATGTGCCCTCAACTAATGTACATGCCCTTGACCGGAATCGAACCTGGGACCTTCCAGTCCGCAGACCGACGCTCTATCCGCTGAGCCAAACCGGTTTAGGGCCTATTTTTCTTTTAGGGAATTGACAAGAGTGATAAATGTTTTTAAGAAAAAATCTAGGTCTATGTCTGAAAGGGTCAAGTACAAACAAAAAGTCGAGCCCCCAAAAGTTCTGAGTCTCTCGTTCTGGGAGCCACAGTTCTGAAATGACTGTGTGTGTCTGCGAGGGATGAAGCCATCAGCAAAAGCGTCACGGAGGCCGAGAGCCGCGCTTCTCCTCCTGGGAGGAAAGATGACACATAAGGAAGGAGGGGAAGTGAGACGCCACGGGGTGGTGTGGGATGGAATGAGGAGTATCCGTCCGGCCTGTCTCTTTCCCAGCCCGGCCGGGCAGCGTGGGAGAGGCAGGAGGGCTGCTGTGCCATCGGCGAGGTGTCACAGGCGCGTCTGTCCGGGGAGTGGGGTCCGGAATGTGAACCCGGGTTTGCCCTGAAGGAGACGGGAACCCCGGGTGTGGGCACTGCCACCGACTCCACAAGCTGTCTCTGCGCCAAAGGAGTAAGAAAGGCCCCGTTCGGTCTCCAGGAGCTGACGTCCAGAAAGCGGGATGTGGATGACGATTCCCCGAACAACTCTGTGTGCTGGTTACCTGGGTACCTGCCACCACTTCCAGCAGACAGCTCCTGTGGCTGAGAACTAACTAACGGCTGATTGTCAAATAAAGTTATAAACCTGCAAACCTGCAAAAAAAAAAAAAAAAAGAATCAGTGTAAATTCCTGATTTTAGCATCCATACAAATGGATGGATATAGATGTGTGTGTGTTAGTATGCTCATATATCTTTTCTATTTAAAAATATATTCTTGCCGAAATCAGTTTGGCTCAGTGGATAGAGCGTCGGTCTGCGGACTGAAAGGTCCCGGGTTCGATTCTGCTCAAGGGCATGTACCTTGGTTGCGGGCACATCCGCAGTCAGGGGTGTTTCTCTATCATCGATGTTTCTAACTATTCCTCTCTCTTCCTCTCTGTAAAAAAAATAATATATATATAAAATAAATAAATAAATAAATATTCTTATTGATGTCAGAGAGGAAGAGAGAGGGAGAGAGAGACTGAAACAGCAGTGATGAGAGAGAATCATGGATCGGCTGCCTCCTGCATGCGCCCCACGGGGGGGGGGGAGGGACTGAGCCCGCAACCCGGGCCTGTGCCTTGACCCCGGAAATCAAACTGTGACCTCCTGGTTCATAGGTCAATGCTGAGCCACATGGGGCCGGCAGGCCATAGTGACGCTTTTTAAATCACAACTTTCCTAGGGAGAAACTTCCCTGCTCCTCCCCCCGTGGGAATGTCTGCCCTGGCCTCTGGTCCCCACGTTCAGGAGCCCCATACCCCCCCTCCTGCTGGGCCTGGCTGCCTGTTTTCCAGGGGCTGAGGCACTCCCAGGTCTCTGGATTCTGAGGTTTCCCTCCAGCCCTTTCCCCCACTGCCCCCTACCCTCCCATCACTGGCCACCGGCCCCTGCACTGCCCTCTCTCGGCCCTTTCCATGGCACCGTCCTCGGGGGCCCTGCCTCCTGGGTGGTTTGGGAACAGGCCTGGGTGAGGACGGGACACCCCTGGGTGAGGACGGGACATCCCAGTGCTGCCGGCAGTCAGTGGAATGGGGAGCTCGGGGAGGCGGGCGGCTAGAAAAGTCCTAATGGGGCAGTGTTTTCCAGCCCGGACCCGTCTGTTAGGACCCCGATGGATGGCTGAGTGAGCAGCCCTCAGAAAGGATGAGAGAAAGGGGTGGGCGTGAGGGGAGAGAGGATGCTTTGCTAAAAATACTGCCCATCTGGATTGTGTTAACTGGTTTCCCAGGAAACCACTGGGAACCGAACGCTGGGGCCTGGCGTGGGGCTTGCCTGGCCTCTGGGGACAACGGGCTCCCAGGGGCTCTCCCCGCTTCTCCTTCCAGGAGGCTGGGTGACCAGCAGCTCCCGGCCAGCGTCCGCATACCCCACCCCCAAACCGGACTCGCGGGGTTGAGGCGTGGAGGCGGCATCTTTGCACCGATCGGAGCGCTGAGGATCGGAGAGTTGAGGCTCCGAGCGCCGGGCGGAGCGGGGGAAGCCCTGGGCGGCCTGGAGCGGCAGCCTGGTCTCGGGACAGCCTTGCCCCAGAACTGGTCCCCTCCCTGGGCCCCAGGCAACCCCTGGGCCTGCTGCCCAGTCTCAGGGCCTTCCGCAGGGAGAAGCCAGCGCAGTGGGGTGGGCAGGCGTGGGATGTGGCAGGGGAGTGGGGTGCATCCTTGGACCCGCCAGGCCTGCAACAGAAATACGTGCTTTAGACTGGAATCAAACCCGTTACCCTTCAGTCCTCGGGCCAATGCTCTAACCATTGAGCAACTGACTAGTTCTTGCTTTTTTTAAATTTTTTAATTTTTTAAAAAAAATTTTTATGTTGTTTTCCCCTGAGTTAAGATTCCAGGCTGTAGTTTTTAGTCTTCCACCGGAGATAATGCCTGTTAACTTGAGGATGTACATCCTCCCAGGCTTTTCTGTGGGGCTGTTTGCATTTCTCACAATCTGGATAATATTGTATGTTTTATAATTGCCTTTTCTGTTCATGGTGACACGCGCGTTTCCCCATGTTGGTAAGATCTTTTATAAGTCACTGGCCCATCATCTGTGCCGATGTCCTATTCATGGACCCCTAGCGTCTTCCCGTTCCCCTCTCGTTTCATAAATGGCGCTGGGGTGAGCATTCCTACAGATCAAACCGTTAGATGCCCTCTCGGTCCCTTAGGAAATGTCTCCCAGGGAGAGGATTGCCGAGTCCAAGAGTATGAATCTTTTCAATAAGTTTAATTCAACCTGCAAAGCTGCCCTCCGGCAAGATGCAGCCATTCACACACAGAAACACACACACACACACACACACACACACACACACGTGCGCAATACAAGGGAAGTGTCGGTTTCCCAATGCCTTAGCTGGCTCTGCGTCTGCCAGCTCCGCTGGCCAAAATAAGGGGTCTGGTTCTCGTCTGCATCTCTCTCTTTTTTTTTCTTTCTTTTTTCTTTTTTTTTTTTAATATATTTTATTGATTTTGTACAGAGAGGAAGGGAGAGAGATAGAAACATCGATGAGAGAGAGTCATCGATCAGCTGCCTCTTGCACACCCCCTACTGGGGATGTGCCCGCAACCGAGGTACATGCCCTTGACTGGAATCGAACCCGGGACCTTTCAGTCCCCAAGCCGACACTCTATCCATTGAGCCAAACTGGTTTTGGCTCGTCTGCATCTCTTTAACTCCTGGTGAGCTTTCATGTTTTCTGGTGTATTTATTGGCCAATGTTAATTTTTTAAAAATACATTTTTATTTATTTCAAAGAGGAAGATAAAAACAGCGATGACGTCCTAACCGGTGTGGTTCAGTGGATAGAGAACACTGGCCTGCGGACTGAAGGGTCCCAGGTTTGATTCCGGTCAAGGGCATGTACCTTGGTTGCCGGCACATCCCCAGTGGGGAGTGTGCAGGAGGCAGCTGATCAATGTTTCTCATTGATGTTTCTAACTCTCTATCCCTCTCCCTTCCTCTCTGTAAAAAAAAAAAAAAATCAATAAAATATATCTTTAAAAAAACAAACAGCAATGATGAGAGAGAATCATTGATTGGCTGCCTCCAGCACCCCGAGCCCCTGGGATCGGGCTGCCACCCCGGGCGTGTGCCCTGACCAGGAATTGATCCATGCCCTCCTGGTTCATAGGTGGACACTCAGCCATGCCTGTGGGCAATGTTAGTTTTTTATGAATTTCTAGTTCATGTCCAGGGCCCAGGCCAGGGAGGAGCCTGCAACCAAGGTACCTGCCTTTGACAGGAATTGAACCCCTCACCTTTTAGACTCTATCCACTGAGCCAAACCGGCTAGGGCAAATTGTGTTTGAACTTTTAAGAAAACAAACACTATGGTGACATCCATAGCCAAGCGGGGAGCCCCGCGGACGGAGCCTTGCTGCCCTGCGAAGTGCAGTCCCCGGGCTCGCGCTGGGAGCCTCTGGGCAGGGACCGGGCGCCCCGCCACAGCCACCCCAACCTCGCCCTCCCCCTCCCAGGGCTCCTGCTCCACGACGTGACCATGGCCGGGCTGCAGGAGCTGAGGTTCCCCGAGGAGAAGCCGCTGCTCCGGGGCCTGGACGCCACTGAGCTGGTGAGTCTGCCCCTCGCAGTCCCGGGGTGGAGAGCGCCCCCTCGTGGCCAAGAAGGGAACTGCGTGTCTTCCCTCCGGTCTTGCCCCCCCAGATCCTCCCCTCCATGGGGCCTTCCGCAGGCCAGGCCACCTGGAAGCCTAGTCCCCTCCTGGGGAGTGTCCTCCCTGCGGCCCTGGCTGCCTTTTCGGCTGGGGGGAGGGGAGGACTCTTTTAAAATTTTTAATATGTTTTTATTGATTTTGTAAGAAAGGGAGAGGAAGAGAGAGAGAGAGCAGCAATGATGTGAAATAGAAACATCCATCGGCTGCCTGGGAGGCTTGTGAGAAGTGTCACCCCCATTTCAATCATGAGAAAGAACACTGAGGCACAGAAAGGTTCGTTCACTTGGCCAGCGTCACACAGCCATCGGGGTGAGGCTGAGCTTAACCCCTGGTTCTGGAAGGCCCCGGAGGGTCCCCACTGGGCAGTGCTGTCTAGCAGGGCACAGTGCTCCCCCCTGCTGGGCCTCCTCTGCTCCCAGCTCCTCTGTCTTTTCTGCACAAGCTCTGAGGTTGGAGGGCAGGTATCGCCAGCAGTGTGCCTCTGGGGGCAGTGGGACCGGAGCACTTGAGGTGGTTATTTTGTCCCATGAGGCCAGAGGGGTTAGATTCCAGAGCTATTTCTACCCTTTACTGCCACTGATTCCCCCCTTAGGGGGAGTAGAAGAGAGAGGGAAAGGCAGAGAGAAACATCGATGTGAGAGAAACACATTCATTGGTTGCCTCCTGCATGCGCCCTGACCAGGGCCCCGGCCCAGGAGGAGCCTGCAACCAAAGTACGTGCCTTTGACAGGAATTGAACCCGGGATCTTTTGGTCCAACCAGCCGACACTCTGTCCCCTGAGCCAAACAGGCGAGGACTCATACCTACTTTTTAAAAAATATATATTTTATCGATTTTCTATAGAGAGGAAGGGAGAGGGATAGAGAGTCAGAAACATCGATGAGGGAGAAACACCGATCAGCTGCCTCCTGCACACCCCGCAACCGGAGATGTGCCCACAACCAAGGTACATGCCTTTGACCGGAATCGAACTCAGGACCCCTCAGTCTGCAGGCTGATGCTCTATCCACTGAGCTAAACTGGCCAGGGCTCCCCACTACTTTCTTGTTGTGGTGACGCCTGGCACGCTTACCCCCCCCCCCCCATAGATCCCACACCTGTGGCCTGTGGCTCCGCCTCTCTGAGCCTGCCCCTCCCTCCTGTCAGGGGCATCTTCACGTTTTCCACCAGCAGAGAAACCGATGTGAGCAGCTGCTCACGCTCCTCCGCCAGGCACTACAGCCTGGCCCCCGGCCCTCGGGGAGCCCTGGGTCACTTTGTTAACACTAAGATGAATGGGGTCCTGGCCGAGGCGGCTCCGTTGGTTGGAGTGCCGTTCCAGGCACCAGAAGGTCCCGGGTTCGATTCCCTGTCAGGGCGTATGCCCAAGTTTCGGATTCAGTCCTGCTCTGGTGGCGTGCAGGAGGCAACAGACCCATGTGTCTCTCCCACATCGATGTTTCTCTCTCTCTCTCCCTTCCCCCCTCTCTTAAGAGAAAGGAATGGGGCCAAAACCGGTTTGGCTCAGTGAATAGAGCGTCGGTCTGTGGACTGAAAGGTCCCAGGTTCGATTCTGGTCAGGGGCATGTATGTTGGTTGCAGGCACATCCCCAATAGGGGGTGTGCAAGAGGCAGCTGGTCGATGTTTCTCTCTCATCGCCGTTTCTAGCTCGCTCGCTCTCTTCCTTCCTCTCTGTAAAAAAATCAATAAAAAGAAATATATATATATTAAAAGAAAGAAATGGGGAACAGGAAGCTAGTCTGCTCAAGGCCAAGCCCATGTGGGGCCCTGGCCAGCCAGGGCCTAACGCCCACCCCCTCTGTTTGCTCCCACAGGAGAACGCTGACACCTTCCTCCTGGCCGAGGACACAGACTGGAAGGTAGGACTCAGCCACCTGATCTGGGGGCCCCCAGACCACCCCGCCTGGTCCCTGAGGAGGGTCACACCCTTCCATGTGCCTCAAGGGACAGGGCCGCCCCCAGTCTCCATGGCTCTGCCTGGCCCCTGCCCCCTGCCCGTCCTGAACAGAAGGGGGAAGGGAAGCCTGGGGGAGAGAGGATGGAGACAGGAGGGAGGGATGCTGTCATCTGAATCAGCATTTTCCTCCAATGAGAGCCAGGCTGATGCTCCAAAATAGCTCCCTGTTTCCATGGCAGCTGTTACCGGGACAACCCTGCCCTCTTTAGCGGGATGCCAGCTTCCCAGTGAACACTGACATCGCCCTTTGTTTTTATTCCTTCTCACCGTGATTTCTTTCACTCACTCGGCCAGTCGCTCTCCCCTGTTGAGGTCTGCGAGGCCATTTATCCCCATGTCTGGGAGCCCGTCTGGCTGCAGACACAGGGGGAGCCTCTCCCGGTCCAGGAGCCCCGCTGGCCACCGACAGACACCGAGCCAGCTCCCCCTCTGGGCCCTTCCTCCCGGCTCTATGGCACTGGCCCCTCAGGGCCTGACTTCCATGTGGGTCAGTGTCCAAGCCCAGGACCGCCCAGCCCCGTGGCCTGCGAGGGTGACGTGGCGGTGGGGTGAGGTGCTGGCTCCTCCCTGGTCAGCAGCTCTGCACCAGGCTCTGCGTCTGGGAGCCCGGCCTGGGTCATGAGCCCCAATCCCGTCCCCCGGGGTTCCGGCTCCAAACACAGAGGCCCTGGCGCCGGGAAGGACGGGCAGGGCTGGAGGAGGAGGGCACAGCAGGAGACCTGGGAGGGAGCGAGGGGAGAGGGATGTGGCCATGAGATAGCGAGGCCCAGCCAGAGGTCCGGGCAGGCATGTCCTCTTTGTCCTCCTGCCCCCCGGTGCCCTCAGAGAGGGTGGGACTGTGCGGGCCCCTCCCCAGGAGGGCACCGGTGACCTCAGACCTGCCTCCTCTTCCTCATCTGTAAAGTGGAGTTAAGAAGATAAAAGGGCCGAAACCGGCTTGACTCAGTGGATAGAGCGTCAGGTGGATTTTGGACAAGGGCATGTCCCTTGGTTGCGGGCACATCCCCACTAGGGGGTGTGCAGGAGGCAGCTGATCACGTTTCTAACTCTATCCCGCTCTCTCACTCCCTGTAAAAAAAATCAATAAAATATATTTTTAAAAAGAAGATAAAAGGAACACATGTAAAGCATTTGAGTAGCTCCTGGAGATATTCTAATACAAATTTGCTACTCTTTTTTAAAAACATTATTTCTTTTATTGATTTCAAGGAAGAAGGGAGAGGGAGAGAGAGAGATAGACACATCAATGATGAGAGGGAATCATGGGTCGGCTGCCTCCTGCACGCCCCACACTGGGATGGAGCCCGCAACCCGGGCCTGTGCCCTGACCGGGAATCGAACCCTGACCTTGTGGTTCATAAGTCAACACTCAACCGCTAAGCACGCCAGCCGGGCGCATTTGCTACCCTGAATGATGCCCAGGTGCTAAGGTGTGTGTAGGCTTCAGCTTCCGGATCCTTTCTCACAGGTTTGTGAGCATCCTGTTATCCTGCGCACAGGCACTGCTGCTTTCCCACTTACAGATGTGGAGGCTCAGAGAGGTGGACCGACCTGCCCAAGGTCACACAGCAGAGATGTGGCAGAGCGCATGCAGCAGGCCTGGGTCCAGGCAGCAGGTCCAGAGCCTGCCTCGTGCTGCACAGCCTCCAGGGAAGGGGCCGTGCTGTTTGGGAAGGCACACGGACTGTCCCGTTTCTTCCAGACGTGGGCAGGGCCCCGGGGAAAGGTAGGGTCGGGTCCAAAGGGATGTGTGCAACTTTTCTCGTTCTCACAGCGGCTCTGTGTGGAGGGCGCACTTTCTGTGGCTCCGCCGAGGAGCCTGGGGCACAGGGAAGCTCACCCGGGCCCGAGGGCTCCCAGCCTTCAGCTCGGGGCTGTGGATGGGGAGCAGGTGGCTGAGCAGAAGCGGGGCCACAGCTTGGAGGGGGCCGCGTCCGAGGTCAGCTTCCCACCCGAGTCCAAGGGCAGGAAGGCCACTCGGCGGTCTGAGGTTGGAGCGGGCGTGAGATTGGAGGGGACTGCGGAGGAGCAGGGTTTGGTGGCAGAGAGGGTGGAAGGCCACCCGCCCCCCAGTTAGAGAAGTAGCTGGGAGGATCCGGTGGGCTGTGCCTTTGCAGCTGCCTCCGTGGCTGGAGCCCCTTCCCGTGTCCCAGTGGCTGCAGGGAGCAGGGAGAGTAGCCAGAATGTGAGGGGCCCGGGAGACCCCGTCCCGCACCCTGGCTGCCCTGGGCAAACGCAGGGTCCAGTGCTCTGGGCCAGGCCTCCGAGCGAAAGGTCAGAGAGGGGGCAGGGAAAGTTCTCGGTCCCCCCCTTCCCCGGGCACAGGCAGGCCTGGCAGGTGTTGACAGGTCACTAGGCACCCCAAGAAGGGACGTAACTGCCCCCCCCAGAAACAGCCAGCCAGAGTGCAGTCTGGGGCAAGTGGCGCGGTCCTTCAGCAAAGAGACAGAATGGGGGCACAGCGCCCAGCACCCCTCCCTTCTCCGCTGCTCCTCCTTGTCCTTGGGCTCCCTCCTCTATGCCCTCGCTGGCCTATTTCTTCTCGTCCTCTGCTCTCCTCTGCTCCCCGTCTCCTCTGTTTCTCTCTCTGCCAGTCCCTGGCCGGCGCCCCCCCCCCCAAGCCTTGTCTCTGGGGTGGGGTCAGGGCATGGGACCTGCCCTGGCTCCCGTGTGCTGCTCCCCTGAGGTCTGGGAGCCAGGCCCCTGCGGGGTGCGGCTTTGGGAGGTGGGCAGAACCTCAGGCCTGGCTGCAGGACGGGCGTGGGGCGGGCAGAGCTGGTGTGTGCCCCACCAGACTCCTGGTCCTGCTGTCAGCCCAGGCCCCTGTGCCCAGAACCCCTTTCTGCGCTGTGGACAGGCACTGGGGGTGCATGTGGGCTGCCCTAGGGGAGACCCTACTGGGGGTGGAGAAGACGGGAGTGACTTCCCACATCCCCTCAAGGCTGTGGTCCAGGCCCTCCTGATGTGGAGGATGGGTTTGGGGCCCCTCAGGCCTCCTCCCACCCCCACGCCCCCTGGACTCCCCAGGCTATAGTTCAAGGGCACCCCTGTGCGGTCCAGGAGATGCTTCCAGGTACCTGCCACAGGGCCCACCTGCCCAGGACCCCGTGAGCAGCGGGCTGCAGCCCTCCGTGCGTGTCCGTGTTGCTAGGGGCGACGGGATGCGGAGGCTGGGGACCATCCAGGAGGATGCGTTGCTGGGGGCGGCGGTGAAACAGGCGCAGGGCTGGGTGAGCGAGGACCTCGGGAGCCAATGGGAGCCAGGCCTGTCTCCCGACAGCCAATCGGGAAGCTGGGGCTGCGGGCCGGCGAGTGGCGGCTCCCGAGCCCCGCGGGGAGGCGGGACCGGCCCGGGCGGGCGGCTCCGCGTATAAACGGTCCAGCGCCGCCGCTTTCCCGCTGGAGCCGCCTCCTGCCTCCGGACCCGGTGACTCAGGCCTTTGTGTGCGCTTCCCTGCCAGGCCGTCACCCCCTCGGCGAGATGCCCGAGTGCTGGGACGGGGTGAGCGAGGCCGCGGGGCGGCGGGAGCCCGGAGGAGGCGCCTCCATGCAGACCGGCCGCGGTCCGGGGCCGCTCCGCCTGCAGCCGCCTCGCCCGGGGAGAGCCAGGCGGGGCCGCGGGTGCAGGTCCCGCGCGGAGCCCGGGAGGGGCGGGGGTCGCTGCCGGTCGGGGTGCTCCCGGGGGGTGGGGGGAGGGCTGGCATCCGCAGGAGGCGCAGGGGGCAGGGGCTGGGTGCCAGGCCCTGCGGACGTGTGTCCGCCTGTGCCCCTCCGCCCGCGTGTGCCCCGCGCCTGGCACGCGCCCGGCTGGCGGCGGCCTGGCCCGGGGACCTGCTCGGCCCTGGGGGAGGCTGAGGCCCCTCCGTGGCCCCCGGGCGCTGCGGGGAGGTCTGGGGCGAGCGCTAACCGGACCGTGAGGCCGGGTCCCTGCAGGGGCCGCGGGGGGGGGGGGGGGACGCGGAGAGGTCAGGGGGTAACGCCTTATTTGGGGGATGCGGGAGGCAAAGGGCGTCCCCAGGGGGGCTCCAGGGTGCCTCCTCCCAACCCCCGGGGACTGGGCTTCCTCAGGGAGGGGAGACGGGGACGCCCCGGCTCCTCCATCCCTTGGACCCAGACAAGACGCAGCACGGCCGGGTGTGCGGAGCGATGGGTGCGGGGATGGATGTGGGTATGGATGCGGGGATGGGTGTGGGGATGGATGCGGAGCCATGGGTGCGGGGATGGATGCGGGGATGGATGTGAGGATGGATGCGGGGATGGGTGCAGGGATGGATGCGGGGATGGATGCGGGGATGGATGCAGGAGACTGGCACCGCCCCACTCCGCGCGCCCTGAAATGCAGCTCCCCGGCCGCAGCCTTCAAGGTCAAGGGCGAGGGGAGCCTCGCGGGCCGAGGGGTACCGGCTGCCGCAGCGCCTCCCGCGGCGCCCCCCTGGGGGCGGGTGCTGACGTCACCGGGAGCCAATGGGAGGGCTCAGCCCCGGGTTGGGGGCTCCGAGGGTGTCGGGCCGCCGTCCTTGGGGCGCCCGCTGGGTGCAGCCCCGTCCCCCTCTCCCCGCCAGACGGGGAGGTTGGCCGGGTCTGAGCTCCCGGGTGGCGGGAGGGGGCAGCCAAGGGCACCGGGCTGTGCGGGAGCTCCCTGCCCGCCCCCCTCTATGAGCCATACGGGTCCCTGCCCCCAGGAGCTGGGCCTCGGTAGGCAGGCTCTGCAGCGGGCCGGGTCCAGCTGCCCGGGGATAGTGTTGGGGAGGCCACACCCGGGCTGGGAGGGGACAGGCGCCCCCTCACTTGCACCCACGGACTGCCCGCGGGTGAAAACTGCCGCCCCCAACCCCGAGCCCCGAGCCCTGACGGGCCTGGCAGGGCTGCAGTGACCCGTGTGCTCAGGAACTGCCTTTCATGCTGCAAGCGCATTGCAGCTCTTGTTCAGTGGCTCCCCGCCCCGATGGGGGCACTCTCCTGCCCCAGCCCGCCCCCCATGGCGCTGTGCACCCTCCTGCCTCCCATGCCTCCTGCTCCCGCCCTCTAGAGCTGAGGGTGGGGAATTGGGGGTACCGTCTGGCAGAGGCTCTCCGCTCACACTTGGTCTCAGAAAAAGGCAGCCTCCAGGTTACTGGACGTCTGCACCTGCCGAGGCCTGCCCCCCACTCCGGCCTTGACCTTGGGCACGGCATGTCTCCTCTGCAGCCTCGGAGTGGTCCTCTGTGGCTTAGGCTCCTGTGAGCGTGCAGAGTGGCCAGTCAGTGGCCAGTGAGTAGGCAGTGTGGCTTGTTGAGGGCCCCGAGGGAGGACAGGCCTGGGCCCCCCAGAGGGTGACAGGGTGTCCCTCACAGGACCTCACCGCAGGAGGGTGGCTCCCAGGGTGTGGCCGAGGGGCTGGCAGCACCTTCTCGCTCCCCACTGAGCTCAGACCCAAAGGCCAGTCCCCAAGAAGCTGTCCCCTCCCTCCCGAGTCTACCCCTTTCCTGTTGGGGGGAGGAGCTTCGGCTCTCTTTGAACCTAAGCGCCCACTATGTGCAGGCCCCTGGCACACAGTAGGTGCTCAGTCTTGCGCTGTTTCCTTCCTGCCCTGACCCTAACCCCACCTCCAGCTCAGCGGCAGGGCAGGGCTGTTACCCAGCTCCCGCTGGCCCCTGGGGGGAGTCTCCCCCTGAAGGGCCCCGAGTGACCGGCATGCAGAGGGACCAGCCAGCAGAGCTCCTCCCGGGCTCCGGGCGGCCCAGCCCAGCCCAGCCCAGCCGCCCCCTTTCCGGGCGTCCTCGGCCCTCAGATGAGCTGCTTTAGTTCTCAGAGGCCCTCCCAGGGGGCTGGGCCTGGGCACAGAGAGGGGCGGGTCTGGCCCAGGGCCCCGCAGAATGGGGCAGCGCTGACACAGCGCTCAGCTCCTGCTCCTGCTCCTGCAAGGCAACTGAGCAAAACCGAGGCCTGATCACAGGAGCAGCGGGAGCAGCCACGCCGAAGGCACGGGATGGGGGGGGGGAGGGTGTCTGCTGGGCGCTTCCTGGAGGAAGGCCTTGGGGTTCGCAGGGAGGGGGTCCACCCAGCAGGAAAGGCTGGAACAGGAGCCTGCAGGTGTGGGCGTTGGAGGCGGGGCCTGGGGGGCTCCGGTGGTTACTGATGACTGAGGGTAACTCCCCAAGGCTCCTCCTGGGGGAGCAACAGGGGAGGTGGGCCTCGGACAGGGGTTGGTGTGTTTGGGGGGGCAGAGATGTCCTAGGGAGATGAGCAAAGGGGCCTCCCTGGACCCCGGAGGCCAGGGCCTGGGCCCCAACAGCTCCCCCGCCGGCTGGTTTGAGAAAGGGACCCGGACTTTCCCGTCCATCTGCTCCGTCCTCTCTGCCTCCAGCAGCCCCGGGGAATGGCAGGAGCACTCCCACCACCCCAGCCCCCAGGCTTCCCCCAGAAGAGCCCGGAGCGGGCGCCCACAGCATCTTCCTCCCTCCCTCCCTGTCCAGGAGCATGACATTGAGACGCCCTACGGCCTCCTGCACGTGGTGATCCGGGGCTCCCCCAAGGGGAACCGCCCGGCCATCCTCACCTACCACGATGTGGGCCTCAACCGTAAGTGCCCCCCCCCGGGCCCCTGACCCCCCCCTCGCCCGGCCGCTCCCCCCACCCCGCCTCACCCGGCCGCCCCCCCCCTCACCCGGCCGCTCCCACCTCCAATCCCCCAGCGGAGCGAGGCCGCCCTCCTCCCCTGTCAGTCCCCACACACTCAGCTCTGTGTCCTTAGCCCCTTGGCCTCGGTTTCCCCGAGGAACCGGAGGCTGGTCACCCCGCCCTGCCCTCCCCCTGGAGCCCTCCCCCTGCCCTCCCCCTGGAGCCCTCACCCTGCCCTCACCCTGGAGCCCTCCCCCTGCCCTCCCCCTGGAGCCCCCCCCCACCCTGACCTCCCCGTGGAGCCCCCCCTGCCCTCCCCCTGGAGCCTGCCCCCACCCTGCCCTCCCCCTGGAGCCCTCCCCCTGGAGCCCCCCCTGCCCTCCCCCTGGAGCCTGCCCCCACCCTGCCCTCCCCCTGGAGCCCTCCCCCTGGAGCCCCCCTGCCCTCCCCCTGGAGCCTGCCCCCACCCTGCCCTCCCCCTGGAGCCCGCCCCCTGGAGCATGCCCCCCCTGCCCTCCCCCTGGAGCCCACCCCCTGGAGCCCCCCCCACCCTGCCCTCCCCCTGGAGCCCGCCCCCCCTGCCCTCCCCCTGGAGCCCGCCCCCTGGAGCCCGCCCCCGCCCTCCGCTCAGCCACTGCTGTCTCTGCAGACAAGCTCTGCTTCAACACCTTCTTCAACTCCGAGGACATGCAGGAGATCACCAAGCACTTCGTGGTGTGCCATGTGGACGCGCCCGGCCAGCAGGTGGGGGCGTCCCAGTTTCCTCAGGGGTAGGTACCCGAGCCCCCCTCTGCCCCCCGCCCCCGGCTCTCCCCGGCTCTGCGCCCCAGGCCGCGCCTGGGCCTCACCCCCTGCCCCTCCCGCAGGTACCAGTACCCGTCCATGGAGCAGCTGGCCGCCATGCTCCCCAGCGTGGTGCAGCACTTCGGGTGAGTCCTGCCCACCCATTCCTGTGCCCGCCCCGCCCCTGTGCCCCCCCCACCGTCCCTGTGCCCGCCCCGTCCCTGTGCCCACCCGTCCCTGTGCCCACCCGTCCCTGTGCCCCCCTGCCCCGTCCCTGTGCCCGCCCCATCCCTGTGCCCACTGTGTCCCTGTGCCCGCCCCACCCCTGTGCCCACCCGTCCCTGTGCCCCTCGTCCCTGTGCCCGCCCCGCCCCTGTGCCCGCCCCATCCCTGTGCCCCTCGTCCCTGTGCCCGCCCCGTCCCTGTGCCCGCCCCGCCCCTGTGCCCCCCCACCGTCCCTGTGCCCGCCCCGTCCCTGTGCCCACCCGTCCCTGTGCCCACCCGTCCCTGTGCCCCCCTGCCCCGTCCCTGTGCCCGCCCCATCCCTGTGCCCACTGTGTCCCTGTGCCCGCCCCACCCCTGTGCCCACCCAGTCCCTGTGCTCGCCCAGTCCCTGTGCCCTCCCCCCATCCCTGTGCCCCCCGTCCCTGTGCCCGCCCCGCCCCTGTGCCCTCCCGTCCCTGTGCCCGCCCAGTCCCTGTGCCCCCCCCATCCCTGTGCCCCCCCGCCCCTGTGCCCTCCCAGTCCCTGTCCCCCCCGTCCCTGGGCCCCCCGGTCCTTGTGCCCTCTGCCCGCCCAGTCCCTGTGCCCTCCCCCATCCCTGTGCCCCCCGTCCCTGTGCCCGCCCAGTCCCTGTGCCCTCCCCCCCATCCCTGTGCCCCCCCGCCCCTGTGCCCTCCCAGTCCCTGTGCCCCCCCGTCCCTGGCCCCCCCCGGTCCTTGTGCCCTGTGCCCGCCCAGTCCCTGTGCCCCCCCGCCCCTGTGCCCTCCCAGTCCCTGTGCCCCCCCGCCCCTGTGCCCTCCCAGTCCCTGTGCCCTCCCAGTCCCTGTCCCCCCCCGTCCCTGTGCCCCCCCGCCCCTGTGCCCTCCCAGTCCCTGTGCCCCCCCGTCCCTGGGCCCCCCGGTCCTTGTGCCCTGTGCCCGCCCAGTCCCTGTGCCCGCCTCGCCCCTGTGCCCACCACTGCCACCTGGCCCCAGGCTCTGGCTGTGGTCCCAGGGCTGTGGGTGGGGTCTGCTCGGATGACATTTAGGGAAAATGGCACCGCTGGCCCTAGAGAAAGCGTGTCAAACTCAAAGGCTAACGCGGGCCAGGTAAACAAGGCTGTGGCCCCCGAGTTTGACGTGCTTGCCAGAGTAAACACCCTCGCTCTCTGCAGGTTCAAGTACGTGATTGGCATCGGAGTGGGAGCCGGAGCCTACGTGCTGGCCAAGTTCGCAGTGAGTTTTCCCTACCCCCCCCTTCCCCATCCCTTCCCCCCCACCCCAGGCCTGGTCTTCGCTGGCGGCCCTTCAGCCACTTCCCTGCTCCCCCTTCCTTCCACTCCGCCTCTCCCCACTTCCTCTTCACTTGGGAAAGCCTTTTCTTCCCCTTCGTCCCTGAGGAAACTGGTTTTTAAGATTACTTTTTCACCCTGGCTGGGTTCCTCAGTGGTTAGGGCACCAGCCCTTGGTCTGAAGGCTCTTGGGCTTGATTCCCAGTCGAGGGCACGTACCTCCATTGCAGGTTCAATCCCTGGCCCTGGTCGGGGCTTGTGCAGGGAGGCAACCAACCTCTCTCTCTCTCTTTCTCTCTCTCTCTCTCTTGCTCTCGCTCTCGCTCTCTCTTTCCCCATGCCCCTTTCTTATATTTTTATTGATTTCAGAGAGAAAGGAAGAGGGAGGAAGGGAGGGGGGGGGAGAGAGAGAGAGAGAGAGAGAGAGAGAGAGAGAGAAACATTAATGATGAGAGAGTCATGGATTGGCTGCCTCCTGCATGACCCCACTGGGGATTGAGCCCACACCCTGGGCCTATGCCCTTGACTGGAATGGAACCTGGGACCCTTCGGTCCACAGGCTGACACTCTGTCCACTGAGCTAAACTGGGTAGGGCTATTGCCCTGTTTCCTCGAAAATTAGACAGCGTCTTATATTAATTTTTTCTCCCAAAGTTGCGCTAGGTCTTGTTTTCAGGGGATGTCTTATCTTTCCATGCTCTAGGTCTTATTTTCGGAGGATGTCTTATTTTCGGGGAAACACAGTATCCTCGGTTTTATAACAGCAGCCTTTCCAGCGATCTATTGAAAGGGGTGAAAACCAGTGAGACGGCCGGCCCGGCCGGCGTGGCTCAGTGGCTGAGAGCCCTCCACCTGGGAACCAGGAGGTCACGGTTTGATTCCCAGTCGGGGCACATGTCTCCGTAACGGCCTTGATCTCCAGTAGGGGGCGTGCAGGAGGGGGCCAATCATTGATTCTCTCATCATTGGTTTCTCTCTCTCTCGCTCTCCCTTCCTCTCTGAGATCAATAAAATTATACTTTATTTTAAAAGCAGTGATATAGGCATAGATTCAAAATAAATCCATGAATTCCGGAAGCTCCCAGGAGGGCAGGCTGAGCCGGGCAGGTGCCCAGCTGCCAGGGTTGGGTCCTCAGTGGCACTTGAAGCTGTCACAGAGCGTGTCCGCCTCCTCAGACCCCCCCCCCCACCTGCTGTGAGAGAAGCAGGGCCAGACTTTCACAGCCTGACCAGTGGGCGGGACGTTCGGGGCCCCCCGCCCCTGTCCCGCTCCCCCAGCCCCGTCCTCCTCTCCCGGCAGCTCATCTTCCCCGACTTGGTGGAGGGGCTGGTGCTGATGAACATCGACCCCAACAGCAAGGGCTGGATCGACTGGGCCGCCACCAAGGTGAGTGCAGTCCCCCTGGCGGGACGGGGGAGGGGGCAGGGGGGCCCGTGAGGGGCTCACACTGACCCCACCTTGGCCTGCAGCTCTCCGGCCTCACCAGCACTTTACCCGACACGGTGCTATCCCACCTCTTCAGCCAGGTGAGGGCGTGGGACCGCCTCGCAGGAGCGGGGCTGGCCGGGCTGGGGGTCTCGGGGGGCCTCCCAGCCGGGCGGGAGGAGGGCAGGGGGTTATGTGGTGTCTGACCTGCCTCGCTCTGTCCTCTGCTGGGGCCTCTGAGAGACAGGTGTGGGGAGATCTCCGCCCACAGCTCCTTGGGTCCCGCCTCCCACCTTGGGGGGCCCCACCTGCCCCCTCGGAGCCCGCGGCCCCACCCTCGCTCTGTCTGTCCCTCCCGCCCGCGCGGGCCCAGGAGGAGCTGATGAACAACTCGGAGCTGGTGCAGAGCTACCGGCAGCAGATCGGGAACGTGGTGAACCAGGCCAACCTGCAGCTCTTCTGGAACATGTACAACAGGTGCGGCGGGGCCGGGCCGGACCCCTCAGTGCAGCACCCCATCCCCCCCACCCCCCACCGCCAAGAGGCGCAGGGAGCCGGGGTGCAGAGGCGCAGAGAGCCAGCCTGCTTGCTCTGCTGACGAGTGAGCTTGCCGACCACTAAGGCATTCCTCTTACCCAGAAGTTTTGACTTCAGGTTAAAGACACTAGCACATTATTAAGATGTTTTTTGAAGTGTTTTTCCCCTAAGGCAGTGGTGGGCAAACTCATTAGTCAACAGTGGCAAACCGCGGCTCGAGAGCCGCAGTTTGCCGACCACTGCCCTGCACGGCCTCACCAAGCCCAGCGTGTGCAGGGCGGGAGGCCGCCTCCCAGCGCACAGGTGGCGCTCATGCAAGCAGCACTCAGTGGGGCGGGCGGGGCCCGATTTGAGAGCCCCCCTGGCAGGAATGTGGGGGTCTGGGTAGAAGTTTGGGGGTCACACAGGCCCGATTTATGCAGCCCAGGCCTCCAAGGATGTGGGGCCCTAACTGCCAGGGTTGGGGGATGCGGTGGGGTGGGGTGGGGTGGGGTGGGTGGGGTGGGTGGGGTGGGGTGGGTGGGGTGGGGTGGGTGGGGTGGGTGGGTGGGGTGGGAGGGGTGGGTGGGGTGGGTGGGGTGGGATGGGGTGGGTGGGGTGGGGTGGGTGGGTGGGTGGGGTGGGTGGGGTGGGGTGGGTGGGATGGGGCGGGGTGGGTGGGGTGGGTGGGGAGGGTGGGGTGGGTGGGATGGGGCGGGGTGGGTGGGGTGGGTGGGGAGGGTGGGGTGGGTGGGTGGGGTGGGGTGGGTGGGGCGGGAGAGGGCTGGGGAACGCCCCATCCGGTCCTGGAGTGACCGTTCTGCCTCTCCCTCTCCCTCTCCCTGCAGCCGCAGAGACTTGGACATTAACCGGCCCGGCACGGTGCCCAACGCCAGGACCCTCCGGTGAGTGCCCCTCGCCTCCAGCCCCCCACCGCCCCCGTTTCCCCCGCCTCTCCCCCCGGCCCTGCCCGGCCGACAGCCCTGCCCTCTGTCCGCAGCTGCCCCGTGATGCTGGTGGTCGGGGACAACGCGCCTGCTGAGGACGGGGTGGTGAGTGAGGGCTGTGCTCGGCCCGGGGACCCTCAGGGACCGGGTGGTGGGCTCTCATCCTCCTTCGCCACACGCCAGGCCTCCCCCTGCCACCCCTCCTTCAGCCTCAGGGAGCGGGGCCAGGGCCAGGCCACCTCCCACCCCCTAAGCCTAAGCCTAAGCCTAAGCCTAAGCCTAAGCCTAGTTAAGCCTAGCTTAGTTAAGCCTAAGCCTAGCCTAGTTAAGCCTAAACCTAGCCCAGTTAAGCCTAAGCCTAAACCTAAGCCTAAGCCTAGTTAAGCCTAGCTTAGTTAAGCCTAGCCTAGTTAAGCCTAAGCCTAGTTAAGCCTAGCTTAGTTAAGCCTGCCTTAAGTTAAGCCTAGCCTAGTTAAGCCTAGCTTAGTTAAGCCTAGCTTAGTTAAGCCTAGCCTAGTTAAGCCTAAGCCTAGTTAAGCCTAGCTTAGTTCAGCCTAGCCTAGTTAAGCCTCGCTTAGTTAAGCCTAGCTTAGTTAAGCCTAGCTTAAGTTAAGCCTAGCCTAGTTAAGCCTAGCTTAGTTAAGCCTAGCCTAGTTAAGCCTAGCTTAGTTAAGCCTAGCTTAGTTAAGCCTAAACCTAAACCTAAGCCTAGTTAAGCCTCGCTTAGTTAAGCCTAGCTTAGTTAAGCCTAGCTTAGTTAAGCCTAAGCCTAGTTAAGCCTAGCCTAGTTAAGCCTAAGCCTAGTTAAGCCTAAGCCTAGTTAAGCCTAGCTTAGTTAAGCCTAGCCTAGTTAAGCCTAGCTTAGTTAAGCCTAGCTTAGTTAAGCCTAGCCTAGTTAAGCCTAAGCCTAGTTAAGCCTAGCTTAGTTAAGCCTCACTTAGTTAAGCCTAGCTTAGTTAAGCCTAGCCTAGTTAAGCCTAGCTTAGTTAAGCCTAGCCTAGTTAAGCCTAGCTTAGTTAAGCCTAGCTTAGTTAAACCTAGCCTAGTTAAGCCTAGCCTAGTTAAGCCTAGCCTAGTTAAGCCTAGCTTAGTTAAGCCTAGCTTAGTTAAGCCTAGCCTAGTTAAGCCTAGCCTAGTTAAGCCTAGCTTAGTTAAGCCTAGCTTAGTTAAGCCTAGCCTAGTTAAGCCTAGCCTAGTTAAGCCTAGCTTAGTTAAGCCTAGCCTAGTTAAGCCTAGCCTAGTTAAGCCTAGCCTAGTTATGCCTGGCTTAGTTATGCCTGGCTTAAGTTAAGCCTAGCCTAGTTAAGCCTAGCTTAGTTAAGCCTAGCCTAGTTAAGCCTAAGCCTAGTTAAGCCTAGCTTAGTTAAGCCTAGCCTAGTTAAGCCTAGCTTAGTTAAGCCTAGCTTAGTTAAGCCTAGTCTAGTTAAGCTTAAGCCTAGTTAAGCCTAGCTTAGTTAAGCCTGGCTTAAGTTAAGCCTAGCCTAGTTAAGCCTAGCTTAGTTAAGCCTAAACCTAAGCCTAAACCTAAACCTAAGCCTAGTTAAGCCTAGCCTAGTTAAGCCTAAGCCTAGTTAAGCCTAGCCTAGTTAAGCCTAGCTTAGTTAAACCTAGCTTAGTTAAGCCTAGCCTAGTTAAGCCTAAGCCTAGTTAAGCCTAGCCTAGTTAAGCCTAGCCTAGTTAAGCCTAGACTAGTTAAGCCTAGCCTAGTTAAGCCTAAGCCTAGTTAAGCCTAAGCCTAAACATAAGCCTAAGCCTAGTTAAGCCTAGCCTAGTTAAGCCTAAGCCTAGTTAAGCCTAGCATAGTTAAGCCTAAGCCTAGTTAAGCCTAAGCCTAGCCTAGTTAAGCCTAAGCCTAGTTAAGCCTAAGCCTAGCCTAGTTAAGCCTAAGCCTAGTTAAGCCTAAGCCTAGTTAAGCCTAGCCTAGTTAAGCCTAAGCCTAAGCCTAGTTAAGCCTAAACCTAAGCTTAAGCCTAGTTAAGCCTAAGCCTAGTTAAGCCTAAACCTAAGCTTAAGCCTAGTTAAGCCTAGCCTAGTTAAGCTAAGCCTAGCCTAGTTAAGCCTAAGCCTAAGCCTAACCTAGTTAAGCCTAAACCTAAGCCTAAGCCTAACCTAGTTAAGCCTAAGCCTAGTTAAGCCTAAGCCTAGTTAAGCCCAGCCTAGTTAAGCCTAAGCCTAGTTAAGCCTAGCCTAGTTAAGCCTAAGCCTAAACCTAGTTTAGCCTAAACCTAAGCCTAGTTGAGCCTAAGCCTAGTTAAGCCTAAGCCTAAGCCTAGTTAAGCCTAGCCTAGTTAAGCCTAAACCTAAGTCTAGTTAAGCCTAAACCTAAGCCTAAGCCTAGTTAAGCCTAAGCCTCGTTAAGCCTAAGCCTAGTTAAGCCTAGCCTAGTTAAGCCTAAGCCTAGTTAAGCCTAAGCTTAGTTAAGCCTAAGCCTAAACCTAAGCCTAGCCTAGTTAAGCCTAAGCCTAAGCCTAGTTAAGCCTAAGCCTAGCCTAGTTAAGCCTAAGCCTAGTTAAGCCTAAGCCTAGTTAAGCCTAAGCTTAGTTAAGCCTAAGCCTAAACCTAAGCCTAAGCCTAGTTAAGCCTAAGCCTAGCCTAGTTAAGCCTAAGCCTAGTTAAGCCTAAGCCTAGTTAAGCCTAGCCTAGTTAAGCCTAAGCCTAGTTAAGCCTAATCCTAAGCCTAGTTAAGCCTGAGCCTAATCCTAGTTAAGCCTGAGCCTAAGCCCGCAGTGTGGCCCCTTTATGGGACCTGTCATTCCCAACTGAGACTCCAGCCCTGCCTCTCCTGGGGGAGCCCGGGGGCCGCAGCCTGGGGGTTCCACGCTCCAGGGAGAGGACTCGCATTAGCACTTGGGGCCGGGGGCTCCCCAGGACCCCGGGGGCTGGGTCCCCTCACTCCGCTGCACCTGGCTCCTCGTTCTTAGGTTGAGTGCAACTCCAAGCTGGACCCCACCACCACGACCTTCCTGAAGGTGAGGCCCCCTCCCCAGCCCGGGCCCAGCCCCGGGGGAGGACCAGGCCTGCAGGGGAGGCAGTTGTGGGGGGGGGGCCCAGGCCAACAGGAGAGAGCAATTGGGGGGGACCAGGCCAGCAGGGGAGGCAGTTGTGGGGGGGGGGGCCAGGCAAACAGGAGAGAGCAATTGGGGGGGACCAGGCCAGCAGGGGAGGCCGGTGGGTATATCTGGTCCTGGTGAGCTGAGCCTTTTTAGGGGCGTGGGGGCCAGGCGAGGCTTGGGGTGGCCCTGCTCCGCTCACCCCCCTCTCCCTGCAGATGGCGGATTCCGGGGGGCTGCCGCAGGTCACCCAGGTGAGACAGCCCTCCCCCATCGCCTGGGCTGGGGAGGGGTGGGGGCCTCCTCCCGCCCCCCAATCCCGACAGCCAGTCACACAGGTGCCTGTCCCCCCGCAGCCCGGGAAGCTGACGGAAGCCTTCAAGTACTTCCTGCAGGGCATGGGCTACAGTGAGTACTGCCCCGTCAGGGGCTGAGCCCGGGGCGGGCGCCCTGGGTGGGGCCTGGGTGCTGGGTCTCTCCGTGCCCGGCTCTCCTGGCCCGGGGAGGGCTCTGGGCACCGTGCCACCGAGTCCCTGTCATGCACCCACCGCCCAGGGCTCTGTCATGCACCCACCTCACTCGCGCGCGCACCCACACACGCACGCACGCACGCACACACACACGCACGCACACACGCACGCACACACACACACACACACACACACACAGGTACGCACACGCACGCACACACACACGCACACACACAGGTACGCACACGCATGCACACTCACACACGCACACACACGCACACACACGCACACGCACACACGCGCACACACACACGCGCACACACGCACACACACACAGGTACGCACACGCACGCACACACAGGTATGCACACACGCACACACGCACACACACGCATGCACACGCACACACACGCACGCACCTCCTCCACTCCTGCTGCGCACACCTGGCTCTCGGTGGAAGCAAACCTCCCCTCCCCCACGGCTTTGTGTTCCTCTCCCTGAAGTTTTGTTCCTCTGGGCTGGGGGCTGGGGGGAGGGGGGACGGGCCTGTGCGGGGAGGGGGGTGAGAGGGGGACGGGCCTGTGCGGGGAGGGGGGGTAGGGGGGGACGGGCCTGTGCGGGGAGGGGGAGTGAGGGGGGACGGGCCTGTGCGGGGAGGGGGGATGAGGGGGGACGGGCCTGTGCGGGGAAGGGGGGTGAGGGGGGACGGGCCTGTGCGGGGAGGGGGAGTGAGGGGGGACGGGCCTGTGCGGGGAGGGGGGATGAGGGGGGACGGGCCTGTGCGGGGAGGGGGGTGGGGGGAGGATGGGCCTGTGCGGGGAGGGGGGATGAGGGGGGACGGGCCTGTGCGGGGAGGGAGGGTGAGGGGGGGACGGGCCTGTGCAGGGAGGGGGGGTGAGGGGGGACGGGCCTGTGCAGGGGGGGGGGTGAGGGGGGACGGGCCTGTGCGGGGAGGGGGATGAGGGGGGACGGGCCTGTGCGGGGAGGGGGGGGAGGGGGGACGGGCCTGTGCAGGGAGGGGGGGTGAGGGGGGACGGGCCTGTGCGGGGAGGGGGGGTGGGGGGAGGACGGGCCTGTGCGGGGAGGGGGTTGGGGGGAGGATGGGCCTGTGCGGGGAAGGGAGGTGATGGGGGGGCGGGCCTGTGCGGGGAGGGGGTTGGGGGGAGGACGGGCCTATGCCGGGGGGGAGGGGGGGTGGGGGGAGGGGGGGGGAGGGGAGGCAGGAGCCCCTCCAGGGACAGCTCTCCCTCCGGCCCCAGGGGCCTCGCCTCTGGGAGAAGTGGCAAGGAGGCCAGGCGGGGAGACAGCAGGACTCGGAGCCTGGAGCCCAGAGCACCCAGTCAGTGTCTGTGGCATGGGGGGACGGGCACGCCTGCCAGGGCCCCCGGAGAAATGCCGCCGGGCAGCCAAGAGCTGGGCGGGACCGGGCAGGTCGTGCAGGCCTCCCCCATCCTGTCCCTGGGGGTGAGGCCCAGGGGCACGGTGAGGGCGCTGGGCCAGACATGGGCCCCCCGGTGCCGAGGAGGCTGGGGATGGCCGGGGTCAGCCTGTGCTGTGTGGCTCCCTCCCGGGCCGCTGCGCGGAGGGTGGGCAGGAACGGGCTCCCCGAGGCCCTGGCCCCGCTCCCAGCCTGTCCCCCCGCCTCCTCCTCGGCCCGTCTCCCCCGGGCCTCTCGGACCCCCTCCTCACCGTGTCCTGTCTCCCCCCGGCCCCTCCGGCTCTGTCTCTCTCCCAGTTGCGTACTTGAAGGACCGGAGGCTGAGCGGAGGAGCAGGTAGCCCTGGCGCCCCCCTGATGCATGGCCCGCCCCGGGCTCCCCGCTCCGCCCTCTGGCTGCCTGGGCCGGCCCCTCGCTGTGGTCTGGAACCTTCTCGCTCTGGCTCGTGCGCACATCCTGGGCGGCCTGGGCTTTGGCCCTTTTTAGGGCTCTGGACTGGCTGGGCTCTAGAGCAGCTGGGGAGCCTTGGGCGGGCGGAGGGCAGCTTCTGGAGCTTCGGCAGCTGGAACCAGCCCCTCCCCAGGGCGGCCCAGGCCCGGGCAGGGCTGAGCCGTGTCCAGAGAAGCGGGGAGGGCTGAGTCTTGGGTGTGAAATTCAGGGCAGTTTGTCCTCCTTTGCAGAATCACCCCCTCTCCCCCAGCCCCACCAGCCCCTCCAGGCAGGCCACGCTGAGAGAATGCCCCTCCCTTCCCCCAGCTCAGGGAGGGCTGGTCAGCCCCTGCCCATCCCGGCCTGTCTCTGGCCAGAGGGTCCTGCTGGCCCCTGCGGCCCCTGCCCCGGCCCCGGCCCCGGCCGGCTCCCTGTGCCCGGCTGCATGCCCCAGGCTGGCAGCGCCGACGCCAGAGCCCGGCTCGGGACGGGCCTCTGTGCCGTCGGGCCTCGCCGGCCGCTCCTTCGCTTGCGTGGGTCCCTCTCCCGCCGGCGGTGCTCGCCCGCCGGCCTCACGCCCGCCCCGCCTCTGCCCGCAGTGCCCTCGGCCAGCATGACCCGGCTCGCCCGCTCCCGGACCGCGTCCCTCACCAGCGCCAGCTCGGCGGAGGGCGGCCGCCCGCAGGCCTGCACCCACTCGGAGAGCAGCGACGGGCTGGGCCAGGTCAACCACACCATGGAGGTGTCCTGCTGAGCCCCGGCCCCCGTGCCCCCACCCGCATCGAGGCCCCACTGCCACCCTCGCGCCCACCGGCTCCTTTTCCGTTTCGTTTCTTTCTGTGAGGGCCAAGGGGGGAGATGGGGTTACGGCGCTCAGAGACTGCAGCAGATCGGCCTTCGGGGGGGGTGGGGGGTCCCCACCTCCCTGACTGTGATGACCTGGCTGACTTGGGCCCTTTCTGCCCAGTCCCCGCCAACCAAGCAAGGCTGAGTCCCTCTCCGGCCGGGCTCCAGGATGCTGTCCTGGGTTAGAGAGAGAGCCTGGATGACCCCAGATTGGAAGGTGGGACGGAGTTGTGAGGTGATGGGTGCAGCTCAGGCACCGGCATGAGAACCAGGAGAGGCAACAGGGAGCCCCGGAACACCCCCACCCCCACCCCCACCCACCCCAGCTCCCACCAAGCACATCTGACTCTGTCTCATAGCACATATGACAATCATCTGAACAGCAGTGGCCACCAGGGGGCGCTCCTACGGGCCTCTGGCTGGTACCGCAGGGCCAGGCGGGCAGGGGCTGAACGGGATTTCTCTGCCCAGAAGCCATTTGTCTCAGAGCCTGACCAAAGGGCCTTGAGGGCAGGCACCCCACAGGCTGTCTCTTCCAGCCCACACACTCCCGAGTCTGCGCCAAGGCCCCCAAACAGGAAGTCTCCTTGCCTTCCGCCGCTGGGATAGCCAGTGAGGACTGCGTGGACCCCTGCCCGCCTTTGGGAGCCAGCATGTGGCCGCAGGGGGCAGTGGCTGGGAGTCCTAATAGATCCCTTGGTTGCCCCCAGGTTCCATGAAGGACAGGTGGCCACGGTACTTCCAGGAAGAGTTTGGTAGAGTCATGGCTAGGCATTTCAACTAGGCATCCCTCAGCAAGGAGAGGGAGTCTCTGTAGAACTGGTCCAGGGTATCCCGCAGGCCTCATCCCATCTCAGCCCGCGGAGTGGCTTGGGCTGGGGCTTTTGCTGGATCCTGGGGTCTGAGGGGAAGGTTCTCGCAGTGAACAAGGACCAGGCAGAGGAGAGAGGCTCCACGCGCACACACCCTGCCCCCCTCCTGCCCCCTAAAGCCCAGGACTGGGCCACACATTGCCCATCCAGCACCTTACCCAGAAGCCATTTGTCTCTGAGCCTGAATCAATTGCCACACACACACACACACACACAACGAGGAAAAGGAGAGGGGGGAGAGCTGTGAAAAACGGAGGACCGGGGTGTGTGTGGACCGGTATGTGGGGAGGAGGGTACCCATATCCACCTTTCCTTTGCACACATGACCCCCCCCCCAATAATCTTAAGCCATTGCTAGACTTCTCTAGAGCCTGGTGGAGTGTCAGTCCGTCCCCAGTTTCTACTCACTCACGTGCTTCCTTTGAATCTCGAATGTGACCGTTTGAAAAGCTGGTAGAATTCATCCCTCTTCCTGTAGATAGTGCTGCAAGTCGGACTTCTCCTGTTTTGCTGTGTTCTTTCAGATGAGATCTCTATAAATATCTATACATTATATATATATGTATGTATGTATGTATATCGGGTCCTCCCGTGTGTGGTTTTTCCCATCGGAGGTTGTCTCTTCTTTGGTCAAAGTGAGCTTTTAACGGAGTTTATCATTTTCCTCTCTGTCCAGGGTGGAGAGCCTAATTTTGTGTATTCTAGTAGCTACTGTCATGAGACTTGGAAATGACACCATGTAAAACAAGTAAAAACCCTTGTCAACATAGAAAGAGTTAACTGTGCTGAAAACTAATAAAGAAACTAAAAAGAATTCGGGTGTGTATGGTGATGTCACGCCCACCGTGGGGGTCCTTGGGAGAGACAAAGTTTAGGCTGGCAAAGCTGATGCTTGTGGGGCTAGGGGGGCGGGGAAGGGTGGCGTATGCAGGGTAAGGGTGGGCACTTCCATCGCCTCCACGTTCCCACTTCTTGTCCCATACATTACCCCCTGCCAAGCCGTACATGAACTCTACAGGATGGATGTCCGTTACCTTAGTGTCACAGCAGAGGAAACAGACCCAGAATAAGGGATTTGCTGTAATCAAGCCGAGTGGGGAGCTGGCATTGGTATCGTCTGACTTCAAAACACAAGCCTGTGGCCTCTATGTTCATTCGTTGCCTCGTTTTTCTTAAATTTAACAGCAGGCTCCTTCCCCAGGGTTTAGCCACTTCGGATTCCCTCAGCCATTGAGTTCCTGCTGTGTGTCAGCTAGCAAAGCAAGTCAATAAAAATCAAACCCACCTGTGTGCCAGGCAGAAAAATGAACACAGGAATATACTAGCGAGGGTGACAGGCGTCTATTCTAACTCTGGGAGCCCTTCCCGCGCCGCCGGCATGCAGACTGCTCCAATGGAGCACACAAAACGGGTGAGGACCACAGCCAACGAGCGGTGGACATGAAGGCAGGCCGGCGCCCGCCTGGCGCTCAGCTTCAGGTTTTGTCGTCCCTCCCCTGGACGTGCACCCCGAGGTCTCAGCAGCCAGAGAGCAGAGGGGAGGGCTGTGCCGGCTCAGAACCAGGCTGGAGGCGGCACGGGGACCGCACGTTTGCTAACCCCAAACAGGGACACCGGCACAGAAGGATGCCTTCAGGGCGGGCCGTGCCAGGTGCAAATCCCTAATCGCTCCAGCTAACGTGGTCCGCGCAGCGGGTTGGGCACGTGGCCCCGCCCTCAAAGCCCCGCCAGGAGGCGTGGCCAGGGACGCGTGAGGCGTGGCCAGGGACGCGTGGAGGCGAGGCCAGGGACGCGTGGAAGAGAGGCCAGGGACGCGTGGAGGCGAGGCCAGGGACGCGTGGAGGCGAGGCCAGGGACGCGTGGAGGCGTGGCCAGGGACGCGTGGAGGCGAGGCCAGGGACGCGTGGAGGCGTGGCCAGGGACGCGGGAGGCGAGGCCAGGGACGCGTGGAGGAGAGGCCAGGGACGCGGGAGGCGAGGCCAGGGACGCGTGGGGCGTGGCCAGGGACGCGTGGAGGCGAGGCCAGGGACGCGGGAGGCGTGGCCAGGGACGCGTGGGGCGTGGCCAGGGACGCGTGGGGCGTGGCCAGGGACGCGGGAGGCGAGGCCAGGGACGCGTGGGGCGTGGCCAGGGACGCGTGGAGGCGAGGCCAGGGACGCGGGAGGCGTGGCCAGGGACACGTGGGGCGTGGCCAGGGACGCGGGAGGCGTGGCCAGGGACGCCGGAAGCGCGGCGCGCTCTACGAACCGGTGGGGTCGCTCGCTCTCTCGCGGGCCATGGCCACTCGGGCGAAGCGCCGGCGGGTAAGTCGCGGGCGGCGGGCGTGAGGCCCACCCCTCCCCCCGGCGCCTCGCGCTGCTCCACCTTCACTGGTCCCGCGCGGGGGTGTCCTCCGCGCCCTCGCGGTCACGTCCGCTCCCCTCCCCCACTCCGCGCTCCCTCCGCGCCTCGCCAGTGCGCTCTGTTGTCTTAGGTGGCCCGGCCCGTGGGCTGTGGCGGCGACCACGGCCTGGTCCCGGACCCGGGCCCGGACCCCGTGGCCGGCTTCCTGAGCTGGTGCGGGCGCGTGGGGCTGGAGCTGAGCCCCAAGGTGAGCCGGGCGGCGCGGGGCGGGGCGGGGCGGGGACGCGGGCTGCGGGCGGGCGCGGGCCTGCTCTGACCGCCGCTTGCTTCCCTGCAGGTGGCGGTGAGCCGGCGGGGCACGGTGGCCGGCTACGGCATGCTGGCCCGGGAGGGCGTGCAGGCCGGGGAGCTGCTGCTCGCCGTGCCGCGGGCCGCGCTCCTGTCGCAGCACACCTGCTCCATCGGCGGGCTGCTGGCGCGAGGTGCGCAAGCCGGCGGGCGGGGCGGGCGGAGGGAGGGGCCCCGGGCCGCGCCCCGGCCTCACCGCCGTCTCCCGCAGAGCGAGGCGCGCTGCAGAGCCCGTCGGGCTGGGTGCCGCTGCTGCTGGCGCTCCTGCACGAGCTGCAGGCCCCGGCCTCCCGCTGGAGCCCCTACTTTGCGCTCTGGCCCGAGCTGGGCCGCCTGGAGCACCCGATGTTCTGGTGAGCGCCGCGGAGGCCCGGGGTGTGGGGGCCGGCCGCCCGCGGGGCGCTGGCCTCGGTGGGGCGTGTGAAGGGAACGGAGGTTCCCCCCGCAGGCCGGAGGGGGAGCGCCGGCGGCTGCTGCAGGGCACGGGGGTCCCCGAGGCCGTGGAGAAGGATTTGGCCAACATCCGCAGCGAGTTCCATTCCGTCGTGCTGCCCTTCATGGAAGCCCACCCCGACCTCTTCAGCCCCAGGGTCCGCTCCCTGGAACTCTACCAGCAGCTCGTGGCTGTCGTGATGGCCTACAGGTCAGTGGGCAGCCTCGGAGGCCCCCTTTCTTTAGGACGCTATTGAGGGACAGGAGGGAACAGTGAACTCCTGCCCAGCCCCTCCCCCTGCCCTGGGCTTCACCAAGTTCTCTCCGGTAGCTTTCAGGAACCCCTGGAGGAAGAGGATGACGACAAGGAGCCAAACCCCCCATTGATGGTGCCTGCTGCAGACATACTAAACCACGTGGCCGACCACAATGCCCATCTAGAGTACTCTCCAGTGAGTGGACCCCAGTGCGTTCGTAGGTGTGTTGGTGACTGGGCATGGTCCAGACCAGTGCCTGTCACTCATGGGTTTGGCCATTAAACTAAAGGGGCTCCACTTTCCTGGTCCTGAGGGACGCTAGCTCCTCCTGTATTTGGGTATCCCAGGGAAATAGTTTGAGCACAGAACTTCTCTCATGTGTGCCTCTGATGAACCTGACTGCCATCGTTTCTCTGATGCTGGAGGTGGGCTGCTCTGCGCAGTGCCAGGGTGTGGGCAGCAGGTCAGCAGTGTCAGATGTTACCGGCGGAAGTTACTGTTGGTGGGTGTTACAGCACCAATCCCATCGCTGAACTAGGCCTGCTGGAGGGCCTTCCGAAGTGGGGAGTGGTCATGGGGCGGGCGGGGAAGGAAAGGGCCTGGTCCCAGCTTCTCCCTTCCACTCCAGGACTGTCTGCGGATGGTGGCTACTCAGCCCATTCCTAAAGGCCATGAGATTTTCAACACTTACGGGCAAATGGCTAACTGGCAGCTGATGCACATGTATGGCTTTGTTGAGCCATACCCTGACAACACAAATGACACAGCTGACATTCAGATGGTGACAGTGCGAGAGGCAGCATTTCGGGGTGAGTGCCTGGTTGACTCCATCTCGGCCACGTGGATGTGCCTCTACCCCCCTCCCAGGTGCTTTGCTGTACCAGTTGCTTTTTGCAGACCAGGGGGTAGACTGAGAAAGGAGCTTTGCGGTACTGAGGCTTCACACTACTTTTCTATCTACAGGAGCAAAAGGTGACGCTGAAAGGCTCCAGCTGCGCGAACGCTGGGATTACTTATGCAAACTGGAGATGGTAGGGGAGGAGGGAGCCTTCGTGATTGGGCGTGAAGAGGTACTGACTGAAGAGGAACTGACCACCACCCTCAAGGTAGAGGGCCCCAAACGGCTAGGCCGTGGTCGCCAAACTGCAGCCCTTTGGCCCCTTGTGTGTGGCTCTAACACAAAATACCATGGCCTGGGCGAGTCTATTTTGAAGTGGCGTTAGAAGTTTAAAAATTTTCGCTCTCAAAAGAAATTTCAATTGTTGTACTGTTGGTTCTGCTGAGTTTGCTGACCATTGCAATAGGCTACTTAATGCTCACAGCGGCCATCATATTGAGAACTATAGAGCCAGGAGAGGGAGGGGAGGAGGGATGAGGGGAGAGGGTATCTGAATGTCACCAAGATAGGTGGGCGTCTCTACATGACCTTCAGAAACAGTGGCAAATCCTAATCAGAGGGCCCATGGCTGCTCTAGGTCCTGTGCATGTCTGCCGAGGAGTTCAGAGAGTTGGAAGAACAGGATGGCTGGGCAGACGAAGGGGAAGAGGACAGCCTGACGATCACAGACATCCCCAGGCTCAGAGAGTCCTGGAGACGGCTTCTTCGGGACAGTGTTCTGTTGACCCTGCAAGCCTATGCCACAGACCTAAAAGCGGAGCAAGATGTCCTCAGTAATGAGGAGGCCTACAGCAAGCTCAGCTGGAGGGAGCAGGCGGCCTTACAGGTTCGTTACGGGCAGAAGATGATCTTACACCAGCTGCTGGAACTGACTGGTTAGCGCTAAGCAGGTTCCCTGCTGCCTAAAGAAACTTCCCACGAGAAGGGACTTGTCTAAGCCGATACTCATTGATGCTCGAAAAGGAGGAAAGTCTGGATCTGTCCTTTTGGTGTTTAATAAGAAAGGCCAAAGGAGCAAAGGCCAAAGGAGCAAAGGGATGAACTCCGAGGTAAGGGGACATGTTTAAGGGTTGGAAACATCAGGCTTGGGAACCTCTGCTAACTGTCACAGAACCAATACCACCCCCCTCCCCTTTTTAATTTTTAAGACCAAAATACTGTATAGCTGTTCTATTTGAACCAAAGTTAGCATAAATTTGATTGTGATAATAAAAGGTCTTGTTTAGTCTAGTGTAGTGTTTAATAACATGAACTTTCAAAGTAGACCTGGTTAAAATCAAGTCTAGTTGGAAGATGCTTTTACCTTTTTATGAGGATTCAATAAGCTATGTCACTGGCACTCAGAGTGTTTAACTCCTCAGCAGTTTGAAGTTTGCTCTAGATGGGACAACTCACCCTCAGGGAAGAAACCCCAATGACAGCCGGGACCAGTTTGGCTCAGTGGATAGAGCGTCAGCCTGCGGACTGAAAGGTCCCGGGTTCGATTCCGGGCAAGGGCATGTACCTTGGTTGCGGGCACATCCCCAGTAGGGGGTG